ACAAAAGTGGGTCCACTGCCATAGCACTAGCTGTGTTCACAACAAGAGTAGACTCATGGGCCACATCATTGTTTACGTCAATAACAATGGTTTCACTTGCCATTTTTCTGAATTACCAAATAAGTTTCGTTAATTTGAGAAATAGGAAATTATGTTATTTTTCAAATAGCTTTAAAAATTATGTTACTTTTAAAATTACAAAAATATGCTAATTTTTCACTTGAAAAATATACTGCTTTTTCCAAAATCATTTGAAAAATATTTATTTTCTCAATATAAAAAATATGCTAATTTTCTAAAAAATATATGTTTATTTTCAAACATGATAAAAATTAAGCCATTTTTTTTTCGATAACCACACTCTACAAACAATTTTCAAATAAGACTAGAGTGGTCTAAGCCTAACCTCAACAACGCTTGCCTTGTTGAGGCTGAAGTTGGCTGAAGTAATTACAAATAGTCCCACTTAAAACCAGTCGCTTTGAAAGAACTTCTCTATATCATAACCTTCAATTTGTAAGATTTTATAAATTTTGTGGTACAATATTATTTTCACAATAATATTTCTTTGAAATCCAGAACCTCCTTCATCCTTTGAATTGAATTAGTTTGAAGATGTTAGGGAAAAAAAATACAAAAAGAAAATTAGAAATACTGTTGAAATTATATAAATAAAATAATGAAAAGAAACATTACAACAGAGTAATAATAAAAATAGAGGAGATGGTTGTTAATGTAGTAGCGATATTAAAAAAAATCAAGACGTGTTGCACACAGTTCCCTTAAAGCAAATTTTCCTCCACTGTGGTATAATAAAATTGATGGCGTCTATTTCTCAAAATACAACGTTGAAAGTAACTCGCTATCATCTCGTCACTACTTTAGATGAACTAATGATGCTCACAACTTTGTCACTTAGCTAGAAATAATTATCTAAACTACTAAGAATAAGATTCTTGAAAACAAAGAGAAAATAGAGAAATTTAGATAGAACTTAGAGAGCTCTCAAAATTTGGTGTGAAGAATAAGAAGAACACCTCCTTATATAGTACTAGGATGAGGGAGGTTTTAATTTTCTTAGATAATTTTGTAATTAACACAAATAATGTTATAATAGCGATAAATGAATTTGTAACAACAAATAAAGTATGAAATTGAATTATTTCAAATACAAATGGTATTAAATAGATTTGAAACCTATGAATTGTTGTTGCAATTTCATACAAATTATTTTTTTATTTTTGAATGTTTTCCAACAAGTACTTAACGATTGGAGAGTTCAGAATTTAGCGATTAGATTCCTAAATTATCTTTGTCATTCAATAAGAGAGAGTTCTTGAAGAAAATGTAGCTTTGAGAGCTAGAATAATTAGAATGACAAAATGATCATGTTAACTAGACTATAATTATTGAATATTTGAATGAGAGTAAGACATTTGATCAGTGGCTCACGGAATTTTAAATAATGTAGTAATAATAATAATAATAATAATAATAATAATAATGCAATTTAAATAATGTAATTCTCAATCTTTTCGTGATTTAAATCGGAATTATTGCAAGCATATTATATTGGAATAATTCTAATATGAGCTTCCCTTTTAATTGTAAATTTTACGAGTTAATAGATGGCTTATAATGATATTGTGATTAGATCAAATTTTTTAAGTGATCAAATGGACCGCTTTACACCTTATGGGCTATATTTAATTTGATGTGATAATTTTATGTATATGAACCGTCGTAATGAGATGGTTAAATAATTTTCTATATAAAGGTTAGGTCCAATCTCCTCTCCATATTGTTTTTTAGCTTGCTCCATTGACAACTAATACTTTGTAAGGAGGGGGAGATCTAACTGCTATTATTAATATCCACGATGTCTTCCTCAAAAATTCGATTTATCAATTTATAATTTTGTGATTTTTGTGTCTTAGCATGATTATCATTAAATTCAATATATTAAGCATCTAACCTATTTAATTCGTAGTTCACATAAAAAGTTTAGGGCTTGTTTGGTTTATATTTCAATTTTCAATTTTGAGTTTTAAATTCATTTTCAGTTCCTGTTTGAAGTTTGTTCTAAGATTTCTTAAAAGCATTTAGCTTGTCATTTGAAAAATTAGATTTCAAAATAGAAAAAACGTTTGGTTTGAACTTTTAAAAAATAATTTTATGACATTTTATTCCATTAAATTTGATAATTCAATAATAATATAACAATTTTATGTTAATATATTATCAAGTAATATAATATTATTTAAAGTTGATGAATCTTGAAATATTTTTTCTCTTTACAACATAAAATAAAAACACAATAAATCGAGTTTAAAATATTGAAAATAAAAATAAAAATTAATAACATGTTTATAAAAAATTATTTTAAATTTTTATTTTTCTAAAACTTTTGATATTTTATGTTTTTGATATTTTTATTTTTTATAAATTTGTTTCTCTAAATTTTTTTTATAATTATATATTTTAAAAATTTTTAAATTTCTATTTTTTTTAAAGAATTTATCAACACTATTCTTTGAATTTTATTTTTTTTACTTGTCAAATTTTTTATTTTTTATTTTTAAAATTTTATTTTAAACACTTATTTTCCCTGTTTTGAGTGTATTCAGAATTTTCACTGAAAACGTTTAAAACTTTAAAAATACGTTTTGAGCTTTATTTTACAAATTTATCCTTATTTTTTAAAATGTCCTTTCAAAAATGCCGAACCAAACACATATTTAGTATATTGTAAAACTGAAAATTGAAAACAACTCGAAAAACAAACCAAACACAGTACTGTTTGCTGCGAATGGAGATGACAAAAAAATTCGTTCAGCCCGATACTCGTGAGGCCCCGTCCCGAATAGGACGGGTAATACCCGCCTAACCGGGTACATAGGATGGGTATAGAGTGAGAGTCATTGCCTCGAAGCGGGTATGGAACATGTACGGAAAACATAGTCCACATTCCATTACTCGCCCGGTTTAATATTAATTTCAAATTTAATTTTTTATTAAACAAAAAGAATAGATTTATCATCATTTTTAAGGAGAACATAAATTGTTTTTAACAAATTGGTAAAAAAATAATGTTATTTACTGACTAAAGACATAAAAATAAAAGCAAAAAATTAAAAAAAAAAAAAAAAAAAAAAAAAAAAAAAAAAAAAAAATAAAAAAAAAAAAAAAAAAAAAAAAAAAAATAAAAAAAAAAAAAAAAAAAAAAAAAAAAATAAAAAAAAAAAAAAAAAAAAAAAAAAAAAAAAAAAAAAAAAAAAAAAAAAGAAAAAAAAAAGAAAAAATAAATGGGGCAAGTCTCTTGCCCCGCTTTAACCGAGTATGGGTATGAGGTACGATAACAAAAGTACCTGACTGGACCGGGATGGGAATGACCGACGCATCCCATACCTGTCTCGTTGTCATCTCTAATTGCAGGACTAGTGAAATAGGACCAACACACTTCACTGACTATACAGTCTGTACTATTAGCTTCGTAATTTTTGGGGTTTTTCTCCTTGTACAGTTCACGAGGGACTGTACAAGGTACAATCCCCTCACATGAAGGGGTCTTTTTATGTGAGAGAATTGTGCATGATATTGTGTTCACAGCACTATCCTAATTTTTATGACGATGAATGAATGAACGGGGACAGGCCCCGAATTATCTTCCTCTATTTGAGGAGCATTTTCTATTATTGAATTTGCATGGCTAGTTCGGTCCAATTTAAGTAGCTCTAAAAAAACTATTCATACCTAATATACACACAAACTGTTCTATACAAAGTGAAACCTTAGTTCCCATTCAATTGTTAAGGGTTGAAATTTAGGGAAACCTATGGTGTACCCTACAAATCTTTTTGTCTGATAAAACCGCATTTTCATTTAAAGTTCACAACCATTTTGAAAATATTGGTTCTTCGACAAATCGTCATGTTCAAATGCTCAAATATCAGCTGAGAAATGTTGCACTATGTTTTTTAGTTGACCAAGTGATTAAATGACTTCGATAACCTAGAGATAATATAAGCTGAGTGCTAGCTTGATGAAGCGTTGCGTAACACAATTTACATTTTGATCGATAATTAATTAAGTTTCAATCAGTGAACAATGGTTGTTACCTTGTTCTTATAAGATCGTAGTATCAGATATTCCGCCAATTCGAGTAAGCAACTTGTTATAATTGCACAATAGAGTTTTGAGCAGTGACACTAGAACATCTTGCAGTACATTAAATTGAAACATGTGTTAAAATTTAAATATTATAGCATGAACATATGAATAATTCTATTTCACGTGACCGTCTTGTAAATTACTCAAGTCATAGACGATATAATTATCACTATTCTAACTTGATATGCTACTAAGGGATGATATTGTCAAATACACTGATATGTTTGGTATTTGAGAGTAAGAGTAACAAACATTTATTTTATTTTTTTCCCTTTTAAAGAAGCCGCGTTAATCATTTTTATTTTTTTATGTTAAATATTTAAGTCCGAAAACACGATAACATCTGTATTGATTCATAGGACCGCTGGAGAAAATGAGAACTTAGAAATAAAAATAATGTATTTATTCACAGGACCACTGGAGAAAATGAGAACTTAGAAATAAAAATAATAATGACTTTGCTACATGTACATCAAACTTTACATAATGACTTTCATAATGCCAACTTTACATAATGAATTTCATAATGCCACGTCAGGCCATCATTTGTCAGTTCAAACTACAATCAACTTTTTCATCCAATCTTTCTCCTCTACATCATTTTATGAAGTCCTTTATGCACATTTTTATGCACATTTTTTATGTACAAATAGCATAATCCTTATGAAGTCCTTTATGCACATTTTTTATGTACAAATAGCATAATCCTAGAGTTATACGATGTAATTGCATAATCTATGGTTTCATATAATTCAATACTGCAATCTCCACTCTTAAACGAGGATAGAAAAGTATCCATATAACGCAAACAATGACAGAGATAGTGCAGAGACGCGTTAAACCTGTATAGCTTCATTAAATGTTACAAAGTTGGATACGATTTAAAGTCATCAGCAACAAATGCAAAAAGCAGCCTTTTAATCAAAAACAAAAATAAACAACTCAAATCTCACAGTGCTGACATTCCTCAAGCTTATTATAACATTTCAAAACAAGTCTTAAAGACAGAAAAAGGGGTAGAAAAAAAAAAAAAAAAAAAGCCTAAAAATTACATATTGCCCGATTGCCCTCCATAATATAGCGGAAAGATTGAGGGATGCAGAAGTTTGGCCTAGTACTTGTAGTCCTTGACGTGAAGGCTCTCAGAGGCGCCCTCACTCAATGCACCACCCTGGTAAGTTCCAAGGGTTGCTTCGGAATTGGCCTTGCACCTTGCAAGGAATGCAGCCTGAGCCTTCCCAATGTTTTCATCCTTTCCAGCCCAAGCCTTGAGGGTGCTCTGCTGCAGAGCACGCCCAAAAGAGAAAGAAAGGGACCATGGCTTCTTGGTCTTCAGTTTGTTCATCGCGTTAAGATTTCGTGTAGCCTCCTCTTCGCTCTGCCCACCAGACAAAAACACCACAGCAGGAACTGCAGCAGGCATTGTGCGTTGAAGGGCACGAACTGTGTGCTCGGCAATGACCTCTGGTGCAACCTTGGCAGAATCAGATCCTGGGGTAACCATATTAGGCTTCAACAAAGTTCCCTCAAGGAGGACGTGATGATCATTAAGTGCCTTGTAGCAAGCAGCAAGAACACGTTCAGTCACGTCAGCACACTTGTTGATATCATGGGAACCATCAACAAGGATCTCGGGCTCAACAATAGGTACAAGACCATTCTCCTGGCAGATGATGGCATAACGGGCTAGGCCATTGGCATTTTCATTGATTGCAAGCTGTGATGGCTCAGTAGGACCAATCTTGAGAACAGCCCTCCATTTAGCAAACCTAGCACCAGCTGCATAGTACTGCTGGCAGCGTTGAGCAAGGCCATCGAGACCTTGGGTGGTGGTCTCACCATTGGTACCAGCTAGCTCCACTGTACCCTTGTCGACCTTAATCCCTGGGAGGACTCCAGCCTCCTTCATGACATCAACAAATGGCTTTCCTGCAAACTCAAAATAACAAAGTTCTGTTAGTTTCTTCAATCATTTTCAATTAATTAGTAATAATTACTCGTCTTTTAATGAATCCTGAACCACAACAGACCGACCATATATACTATGATCCTCTACAAACTATATACCTGTTGCAGTCTTCTGATATAGTGTTTCCTCAAAGAGGATAACACCACTGAGGTATTGAAGAGCACCAGGAGTGGTGAAAAGAAGCTCACGTAGAGCCCTCCTGTTTGTCTCAACATTCTCGACATTGATGCTAGCTAGACGCTTGCCAATTGTGCCAGTCGACTCATCAGCAGCAAGGATACCCTTTCCAGGGGTCCCAATGTATGCAGCATTGGCAATGAGCTCATCTATGAAAAGGAATAAATTACTAAGATACAGGAGAAATATGCACAAACAATCAAAGAAACACAATACCATTTCTAGTATAACTCCTAATATAACTAGATCTAACATATATATACAGAATAAAATCCACAATTTCCTCAAATTAAAAGTTGACCTTGTCAATGTAACACAAATTATCTTGAACAATTTCACCAATCTCATGATGCCATACCCAGAAATAGTAAGAAACATTTTTTTTTTTTTAAGTTACAGTTATCTAAATCATATTGTTCAACAATTAATATATAAAAAAAAAAAAAAAAAAACCCATATTTTTAGAGCAACTGAAAATTTGATCGTAAGGATTATTTCATTAGTAAAAAATTAATGGAGGCTACAAAAGATCCAGGCCCCAAGGCACACCTAGGAAAACTTGTACCCTCAAAATGTCCATATAACTAATGCTTAAGCTGCAGTAAAATCCAATTCAACAGTAAAAATCAATGAAAAATATCATGCCAAAAACTGTTCTTGAGCAGATCAGATAAAATAAAATAAAATCTCAGGCCAACGCACTCAAATTCAAACTTTAGACAAATTGAAAGAAATGGTGTTCCAAAAATTCACAAATAAAACCAAAAAAGTTGCAGATCTGAAAAATAACAAACAAAAGGAAACAACTAGGTTACCCGGATCTAATGAAAAATACAATCATTTCAAGGCAGAAAATAGATAAATAAATAAAATCAAACTACACTAGTATAGGAAAATTCAAGACAATAAATAGGCGAAAAACAATTTACCGGCGTACTTTCCCTTATAGCAAGACATGGTTACAGAGGAAGAAATTGAAGAAACAAATAGTGTTTATCGAGAGAGAAATATAGAGGCCGAAGCAGAGTTTGGTGGAGTGAGTGATGATTGCTGTTAGGGTTTTAATTATAGTGCGTGGGGCTACAAAGTTACCATCGATATTATCGCTAAATCAAATCTGGACCCTCCTAAAGGAAAAACTCGTTCTGTGATTTGACTATTTTGTCCTTATAAAATCCATTCTCTTGCATTAAACGCCCTCAACCTTTGATGAATAGCACTTTGATCCCTAACCTTCATACTGGGGCTTTTTATGTCCCCTTTTTGGTAATATTTTGGTGAGTTTAAACTACACGTGAATTTATTTTGTTCTTTTTTTTTTTTTAACCATTTCTCATGTTTTAGTTAAATTTTTTGTTCATATAATGATCACGGTAAAAATATTTTTTTAATAAAATTTCAAATTATAATCAAAAGATAGGATAAAAGTGGTAAAATATATTTTAATAATTGTTATGCATTTCACATTATTTGTTGTTGAGGAAAATATCTATGGTGAGGGAGAAAACAAATTTGATAAAATACATGTATGTAATGACATCATTTTTCAAAATGTTCATGCTGAAAAAATGGATTTTTGTCTTATCAGAGTTCTCATCCAATTAATTACTTATTAAATGGTATGAACTTTTGATATATCATCCGTGAATTTGGCAAGCAACTACCCAATCAAGAATAATATTTGCCGTGAAATTGGGATCTGACGCATGACATCTTTATTCTTGATCAAGAATAAAGATGTCATGCATCAGATCCCAATTTCACGGCAAATATTTTTCGATGGCTCCAATATGAAAGGTGGCACTAGAGTAAATCTATTTTTTTTCCCTCTCTCGGTGAATGTTGGTCCATCCATTAAGGACGAGAGCTGCCAAAACAAATAGGTGGCTACGTAAATATCCATTTTAGAATTGTTAACCAAACTATCAAATGCTTCAAAGATGAGGGACCTATGTTGCTATTTTGTTCATCATCCGCAATATTAAGGTTATACATGTAATTAATGTTAAGCTAAGGGGTATATTCCTTGGATTCCACGAAAACCACATATTGACATTTGGTGGGTGGGAAGTGTCAGTCAAAACAAGGGAAAAAAATGGCCCACAGCACAAGGCGGTTGTATAGGGTGGAGCAACCTTTTTGCTGGAGAAAGTGGAAAAATGAAAACCAACTGCGACACCTAAAACGGCGGCGGGTTCCGTAGGTGGTATTGGCCTGCTGTATTAGTTCCTTCTCCTGCACGTATTAGTAGCGTGGTTTCGCTTCGAATAATGCTATTTGTTGATAACCATTCGCAATACAGGTTTATTAAGCTTCCGTTTGGTTTGTTAAAAATCATATAATAAAGTTGATAAGAAATATGATTGAAAAATTAATAAAAATTATAAAATCTATAAATTATGAAGTTAAAATTAATTATTATTTTCAAATAATGTGTTTTGCATGAAAATTTTGAGCAACAAGAACTAGACCACACGGGACCTAATACATGACCAAGGGACGGCACAATATAAGTCCCTATTTGGCAATTATTATTTAGATAAAATGAAATTTTGAATAGTGATTTTTTGGAAAATGTATGATTAAAAAATAAGAAAATTTTTTGAATTTAAGTGTAAAATATTTAATTTTGTGAATGTGTTGTTGAAAATGAATATGTAAAATAAATTGAAATAATGATTATCAAACTGGAAAATGAATAAACATAAAAGTCAATTTTTATGCACTATAATGGTTGTTACTCGTTATCTTCCACACCCTTCATTGTTACTCAACTTTTATTTTATATATACAAAATTTATATCATAGGTTCAATAGTTAATAGAATAATATTCTAGTCCCCATTTGAATCTCATTCTTTGGCCACAAAAATAAAAAATATGACCATTATTCATTACATCAATTCACCATATTTAACTTTCTATTTCTTGTATGAGTCACGTAACAATTATATTTTTCATTCTCATTTTTAAATCTATGTGAATCAAACGGGCTCTAATGTATTTCCTATCTATGTAAGCAAGAACTAGATGCTATTAGTATGCCTAAAACCTTCTCAAAAAATAGAAGGTCGTTTAATTAACAAAACCTACATCCATCGGGAATTAGAAAAGTACATATACTGCAGTGAAAGAAGCATCACAACCCCTCTTGTGGTAACAATACATTAAGGTCCCGTTTGGTACCCATTTTTTTTCAAAATGTATTTTTCTCTCTCTTCTTTTCAACTACACATTCTTTATTAAAATAATATTACACGTAAATCAGAAACATTTTCTTATTTTTCAACCACATGTTCCCATCAATTTACTATTCAAAAATGCATTTTTACATAAAAATATCTCTCAGACACCCTATAATACTTGTGCCATTTATTCAAAATAAAGAACATGAATCCAGTTAGTGGTTGTAATCAGGTGTGAGAAGAATCTAACTTGTGAAATTGGAATTGTCACCAAATTGCAAGTCACGGGTTACTGCAGAATTAATCTCCATATATATGAAAGGTGACTAAATTGCTTCTCAAATAACTGAAAGAAGAATTAACTTGTAATATCAAATTTACAAGAAAGATCCGATTGAGAAAGGAATTTATAATTGGACTTAAGCAATTTTGTCATTTATATAGAAGCAGGAAGATTACAAGGAGATTCATTAAACTACAAAGTGAAATGATCAATCCTATAATGAGATTTCGTCATCTGTTATGTAACAAAGAAGAATGTTTCTATTTTCTCTATCAGTTAAACAAGTTGAAATAAAATATAAAGCATGGATGATTGTACACTAATTAACCTGCTTGGCTAAGGCACCCAAATTATATCATCAAGAGGACATGTTCACATTTTTTTTTGCTAATTATTTGAAGATCTGTATGTTTTTGCCGTTAGTTTATCTTTTTAAAACATGTATACCCATTAAGTGCATAAATAATCATTCTCAAAGTGTTTGCAATATAAATTCATTTATTTAATATACTCAAACACACAGAAAGAGTCAAAGTCTCACAGCGGCTCATTACTACACTTCAAACTATAGAAAAGCAGGTAGAGAATTGAAAAACCAGCTTAAAAACAGCATATTGCCGATTACCACCACCCTGGTGAGCTCCACGGGCTGCTTCAGAATTGGCCTTGCACCTTGCGAGGAATGCAGCCTGAGCCTTCCCAATGTTTTCGTCCTTTCCAGCCCAAGCCTTGAGGGTGCTCTGCTGCAGAACACACCCAAAAGAGAAAGAAAGGGACCATGGCTTCTTGGTCTTCAGTTTGCTCATCACGTCAAGAATAAGTGTAGCCTCCTCTTCGCTCTGCCCACCAGTCAAAAACACCACAGAAGGAACTGCAACAGGCATTGTGCGTTGCAGGGCACGTACTGTGTACTAAGCAACGATCTCTGGTGCAACCTTGGCAGCATCAGATCCTGGGTCACCATATTAAGGCTCAACAAAGTTCCCTCAAGGAGGACGTGATGGTCGCTGAGTGCCTTGTAGCAAGCAGTAAGAACACGTTCAGTCACCTCAGCACACTTGTTGATGTCATGGGAACCATCAACAAGGATCTCGGGCTCAACAATAGGTACAAGACCGTTCTCCTGGCAGATGATGGCATAACGGGCTAGGCCATTGGCATTTTCATTGATTGCAAGCTGTGATGGCTCATTAGGACCAATCTTGAGAACAGCCCTCCATTTAGTGAACCTAGCACCATCTGCATAGTACTGCTGGCAGCGTTTAGCAAGGCCATCGAGACCTTGAGTAGTGGTCTCACCATTGGTGCCGGCTAGCACCACTGTCCCACTGTCGATCTTAATCCCTGGGAGGACTCCAAACTCCTCCATGACATCAACAAAGGGCCTTCCTGCACTCAAAATAACAAAGTTCTATTAGCTTCTTCAATCATTTTCAATTAATTAGTTATAATTACTCGTCTTTCAATGAATCCTGAACCATAATAGAACTGAGTACATAACCTGCTGCAGTCTTCTGATATAGTGTTTCCTCAAAGAGGATAACACCACTGAGGTATTGAAGAGCACCAGGAGTGGTCAAAAGAAGCTCACGTAGAGCCCTCCTGTTTGTCTCAACATTCTCAACATTGATGCTAGCTAGATACTTGCCAATTGTGCCAGTCGACTCATCAGCAGCAAGGATACCCTTTCCGGGGGTCCTAATGTATGCAGCATTGGCAATGAGCTCATCTATGAAAAGGAATAAATTACTAAGATACAGGCAGGGCGGCCCACAAATTTTAGGTGCCCTGTGCGACATTTCAAAATGGTGCCTCTTTCGTGTAATAAAAAATATATTATAAAAAAATAATTCAATAACATCATTTCAACCAAAAATATGACATTTAAAAATTTGTTTATTTTTTTTACATATTGTTAATAAAATAATAAAACTAAAGCTCAAAAGCATTCTCCGAACTTCATCAAAATTTATGTCATCAATAGAGAATCATCCAAACTACTAACCTCTTGGTACAATTTCATATGAGCAAACTTTGAAATCAAAAATAGCCAAGTACCACATATAAATCTTGAAATACAACAAATCATGTAAAAATATTTGTTCTCGCATTTTTGCATTTTTAGAAATGAACTCACTAATTAAACTTTCTAATCAATATGTTTTAGCAAATCCATTTTAATAAATATCAAAACTAACGCATTCAATCATAGTTATAAAATGGTTGACACAAATTAGATTTTAATAGCTTTAGTTTCGAATAACATTTTTTGACAAATGCAACAATAACAATAATTATCAATAGTATTATATGAGCAATAAATATATTAAAAAAGCAATCTAATCTTCTCAAATAAGTCAATATATCAAAAGCTATTTTTGTTTCTTTTGGTAAAAAAAATTCACAAAAATTGAATTTAATCAACTATCAGTTATTACCCAACAAAAACTAACCATTCTAGAACCAAAATAATAATAATTATTATCATCATCATGAAATAGCAATTCACAAGTGGACTCGTTCTTGTGACATGATTGATCGCAAATAAGATTTTAATAGCTTTAATTTTGAAAAATAATTTTTGACAAATGCAACAACAATAATAATTGTCAATAGTATTCTATAA